TCTGGATTCAGTTTATCATTTTATCCGCAACAGTTGCATCAACTGAACCCATAGAGATTTAGCAGGAAAATATCCGACATTAATACCAACAAAGGTTATGAGGTTTATTTTAAAGACCCATGTAATCCAGGCTGAAATCAAAGGGCGGGAGCAATCTATTATCAAATTAGTCATCCATGATATTTTGGAGGTGCAGGCTTTGAAAGTTCACACGGCTTAAAAATTTTCCTATTTACTGAAATTTCCCTTAAGCAACGAATTTATTCCAAGGTGAATCTTGCAATTAACTAATGACTACTATGTCGTAGCCTACAAATAATATCGATAGCATGGGATGGTGTGGTCAGATCAAAACTTGCGAAACACAATGCCTGTGCTTTACGACTGCAATTTGCTATGAATCATCTGACAGGTACGAAACAAAACAGCTGTAACTCCTGAAACAAAACGTATAAAATTAAGTATTCTTCCAAGAGGATGACGGGACATCTGTTCCGAATACCTAATGTAATATGGGGCAGTTATTAAAGTGCAATGACACAAAAATCTAGAATGTCATAGAGCTTAAGCCCGTTGTAACTCCTACAGTACTGTCCAGTATCTAACAACCCACAACAGCATGGGATGGTCTATTTTAATGTGGCCTCATGAATATCTAGGAGCAGAAAGATTGTGCTCTAAGCAGTAATGAAACGCTGTTTGGAGAAATCACGCAATTAGTGCCACACTTCGACGAACAATCTGATCAACATTTCTGTTTCTTGTCTTCCTGAAACTTTCTTCCTTTTTTCCCCACTTCTGTAAACCGATAAGCCAATCCTTGAGTACATCCGACACGGAATCGACTTTTAAGCCGTACGACCTTGTCAACCACTTCCATGAAAAATGAAAAAAGGAAGGAAAGGAAACCTTGCAACCGCTGGAATGATAGCTTAATTACACTTTCATGAACGGACCATTTCCGGGTATTTCTTTTCATTAAATTTCGGTAGGGTGCTGGTCTCCGTTTTTATGCCATCCGCAAATAACGCTTAGTTGAAAGGCAGCATCTACAGCAGCCACGAGGCTAGCACAGTGCGAAGTCTATTATTTCATTCTCTCAGAATTGTAATCATTATTCAACCCCTGACCGCGGCTAGAACGAAGGACCTTACAGGTATAAGTTTGACGTTCTACCGACTGAGCAATCCCTGTCAGAAATGGAAATTTATTGTGGGAAGAATTTACCAAGCCTTGAGCTTATAACTATATGAATATATTAGCGATAGAGCTGTACAGTTACCATAGATGAAAGAAGAAGCCAGCAATGCGTAAACATATGAATAACCTGAAAACAACCAGTACAATTATTACAAATCCATTAAAAGCAGTTATTAATTCTGACTGTATCTTCCGGAGGGCTATGGCAGCAGAGACCAAGGAGGAAAACACGGAGCAGGCCAAATCTCACCGAGCCGTCACCTAGAATCCAATTCAGGTGGTGTGAAGATCAAACGAACCTAAATTTTGTCCAATATGTGTGCCGAGAGCTAAAATAATTTGCCAAGATCGAATGGAATGAAAAGTAAAAAATAGCTGCCCTGCAATCTTCTACATGCGCAGCCTGTTCTTGACAACATCACATGATCGACAGATGATCAAAGGACTTTAGCAGTGACAGACTGGTACTCAAGCGGCTGCAAGCAACAGATGAAACTGCTTGGTTAAGATTAGACAATGAGGCAACAGAAAGATGCGGAAACTTGTGGCGACAAACGAACGTCGGATTCGAGATTGAGCAATGGTGATTCACGTTAATTAAGAAGAAAAATCAATCAGTTTTTGATATTTTCGTTGTTGAACATTTGTGTTATATGAGCTGCATCTGATATCACAAATGCACACTTTGCATCTGAAACTTTATGGGAAAATACTGGTAATTTTAGTGATAAACGAGTGTTAAAGGATTAAATGATTAGTGACTTAATTGCATGGAAATGAAATTTCGAAATCCAAACAATATTCTTAAATACAATCACTGGGTTATTGATTGTTTGAAAGTACAGTTAATAAATTATAGGCAGAGGGATAGAAAAACTAATAGCGGAAAGCAACATTTCATAAATTCATAGGTTTCGAACGTCCGATTTAAAACTCCATTTTAATAAGTAATAAATGGTTTCATCCGGCGATACCTTTTTGCATTTTAAAACCTTTACAAACATTATGCGTTCATTCCTTTTACCACTTGATTCTATCATGCATACTCCACGTGATCATTAGTGATATTTAAGAAGGTGCATGGGTAAATGTTGCTCAGTGTTCAAGTTAACTAGCATAAAGAGACTTCAACGCGTTGCTAAACTCGGTATGGAAATAGTAGCGCTGTGCCTACCATGGAGTATAATGATGAAAGCTAAACTGGCTTGAATAATGAAAGGTAAAAAACATTGGCTTAATTTTCTGCCAGGTAAACCGTTAGATATAGAGTTGCTTATAATTTTGATTGATATCATTTGTTACTAATCAGTAATCTAACGAAAGTGTAAAAACATGTAATTTTCAACGCCTTATTCTGTTCAATGAAATACAACAAAAAAACACATACTGAGGTATTATGTCTTATCTCTTTGGGCATATGTCATGTAAAGAATGCCAATTTTGCGAATTGTTTTTTTCGTTTATGGCATGCACAGAGTCGATTGAAACTCTTGGAAAATGAGTCTCACCTCTTTCATATGTCTCTTGCTCCTGCCTGTGAATCGCTGCCAGAAAGATGATGGTGGTATTCTGTTGCGAATCGTTCTAGTCATTGAGCGGGCGGCAATGTGAGTAGGCACCTCTGTTAGTGAACCCGTGATGAAAAGCACATCACAGAAGAACAACTGCTGACCCTTACGCAGAAGGTCTGAAGATAACTGATATTCACGTTCCACATCTTCAAAGTCTAGAATACATATTGCAGCCCAGATAGAGTATAGGATTTATAAATCAATATTTTTTTGTATTCCGCAAATGTGCTCGATGATCAGATTTGTGATAAAGCATTCACGCCTGAGGCTATAACTGTGATGGCGACCTATTATCGAGTTCTGTAATATCTTGAGATAATGGAATCATACTATTCCAACAGCGGCTGTGGGCAAACATGACAAATATTCGGTAACATAGAAGGAGTAGATGAATCGAGATGCATCTGGCACCGCAGATGCTCTAATACCATAGAGCCGTATTGGTATGCTTAAATGCCCCCCCCCCTAATGCAACTGGGCGATGTGGGGTGCACTGCGTTTTGAAGTCTAGTTTTGGATGAGTCATGCGCTATTTGATATATTGCAAGCCGTCCATCAGCTACTAGTTGCTTGGGCATTTTAGTACACAACCATCCATGACATCGGTTTATTGGTCGAGGAAATATCTCGCTCTTGACATGACTTTTCAAGAACCAGTTTTTCTATGCAAATAGGATTTCGTCGAAGTCAAAGCACGTGGATGCAAGTAGATAAAGCATAAACTTTGAAATGCTGTCTTGGAAAATTGAAACGATTATAGCCATCATCCTGCGTATGAATCCATATTTGATATGTTGATTACGCAGCGTGCTTAGTGTTCTTATCAGCATACGAATGACCTACATCAGTTGTAGTTTATTTCAAATATATTGCGTACCTGTCAAAGTAACAGATTAAATATCAAGGCGAAGTACGAAGGATTATATTTTATCTACATACAAAGACCTGTGCCAAACAAAAAACGGTCAGTCAGTGGACCACTGGTAATTAGAGGGTGATGAACATATTCATGCCTTACGCTGAGTCCAAATATGCCTAGGAAAATTATAATCAAATCATAGGCCCGAATGGAGGGATTGGGAGACTCCGTCCTTATCAACCCCTTAAGAAAATTTGGCGAAAGTCTTTAAAGACGCCGTCACAATAAAAGATCATTCACTGGTTGGATTAGCAGAATATTCAGGCATTGGACTGCGAACACCAAGAAGAAATAAGAAAACGGAATTTCAATCATATCGCTGTGATTGTTTGGAAAATGAAAAATAAATCACGAAGTTGCATCGAACGTTTTCATCCCTCTGAAAGAAAGGTCTCATTAGCCATTGTCAATAATGTACCATAAACTTGGATGTCAAAGAGGTATCCCAAGGAATAATTAATCGCATCAAAATTAATCGTCTTATTCATTACTGCTACCACTTTCGGCTATATTGTGGGCTTGGTAAGAGGAAGCAGTGGAGTTAGAGTTTATCTTTGAACACAAGATAGGATCTGAATACCGTTGCTGTGCAAACGTTTTTTATTAACTGTCAATTCCTTGAGCTAAAGATTGAATCCGTCTGCTTTGGTGAAACCGGCGAAGAATGAGACAGCAAACTGTTCACCTTACCACTGATGTATCTGCGTGGTCATATCAATTCCTGCGTGACTTACGACCATACTCTTTGAATAACTCACGGGTGATTAGATCGAAATGCCTCCCTGACGCTAAAGATCAACCATAGTCTTTATCTGCCAAGCGGGCTGCGTGTCTTTCCTGCGTCAAGTACTGGACAAACGGTAAAGGAAAATACATCCGGCATGAACGAAATAGATCACACTATAGTAGTGTTATGTTATTGTGATATATACTTCTGTTTGTCCTGTACTAGCTTATTACGGCACTGTCAAAGACAAGGCTAATGCTGCTTTACATAACTGCATTCTAAATTAAACTCCTTCAAGTACATCACATGCATTCAAACATCGAATGAGGTTTTCCCGCTTATATCAACACCTATGAATATTATGAATTAGTATGAAGTTCATAATTATATTATGATACTAAATTGTACAGAAAAAGAGCTGGATTATTCTAACAAAAAGTACAGGTTAATTCGTTCATTAATTTAACTTAAATGTACCTCCATTCTTTCAGACAGTGTTATAAATTGTGCCATATCAAGCTACTTTCATCTTTGTTCTCCTAGTCAAAGAAAATGCTAATACGTTGGGTCGTTCAATAAAGAGATGGCACATCCAATTGTGAATTTGGCAGAGAACATTTCGAACATACAAACCTATGGGCTTGTCGAAAATTGGACTGAGGAGCAAGAAATATGCGAATACGAAAAGACTCCTTATATAGAAGAAAAGTTTTACCTCATCGCCGTTTTTGGTTCCTTCATCATGTTGTTTGGCATCGTTACAAATTCTATACTTTTAACCGTACTTCTCAAGAAGAAGCTTCGAGAGACGTATCTCATTTACTTGGCTGCTCTAAGCGTATCGGATATCGGCTTGTTGATCGCCTATTTTATGGTCTTCTCAGTGCAGATAATGTACGACTACTTCGAATTATTACCTCTTTATTTCGCGTGGCTCTACTACATCCCGTACTTCTACGCATTCAGCAGAATCATGCCCTTGGCTTCGTCTTACCTTACGGTTGTATGTTCTGCCGAGAGATTTCTGGAAGTGATACAAGTTCGATACCAGATTAAAATAATCAAAGTCAACCAACGTAGGAGATACTACGTTATTTGCGCCATTTTGGTATTCAGCTTCTTTTTCCGCATAATTAGCATATGGGATCTAGAACTAGAATACAGGTCTAACTGTACAGGATTTGAGTCGATGGGACTAACTCTAACCTCGTTAGCCAGAAATAACTCCTACAAGCAAATTTATCAGCTATGGACCGTTCAGACAGTGCAAATCTTCTTCCCGTTTGTGATACTGGTAGTGATGAATGCGCTGACGTCCATGGAATGGCGAAGAATGACACAAGAAGAAAGACGCTTGAGCGCTAGCGAACGCTCATCTCGCATGCGAGTCAGCTGTCGCAGTGCTCGTCAGATGATGATCGCCATTGTGACAACATACTTAATAAGTAATGCGCTGAATGTGGTGATTACCCTCTGGGAACATGCTGACAGGCAGTTTCTGCTTGATCACATTGAGTTTTACACGTACGCCACAGATTGTGTCAGCTTGCTTGTCGTGCTTAATTCGTCTCTACGTCTGCCGATATATTACTTCAGCAACTGGAGAATTCGCGAACAGCTGAACAAGATGTACAGGCGGATATGCTGCTGCAAATCGTCTCGCAATAGAATATTGTACAAAAAAGTTCTGCTCAAAAAGTGATCAAGGGATGTGCAAACTATACACAGATGAAGACAGACACTGTATACTCAGCGAACAGTAATTCATCCAGTAAAACCGCAAACGTTTACAACCGTCATACCATTGGTTTGACCCGTATTTTTATTATGGAAGCTGAATTAAAAGACGTTGATCTAACAAAACGCTCTTGAAAAGAATGACAATACTCACAATCTTCAAGATAAAAATGCAATCAAGCATTATGGGAAAATAAGCTGGTAACTTTAAATGTAAAGAATAACCTCCAAGCAGAAGAACAGCCGAACAATC